CGGCCTTTAAAAACGCTGGCTCGTCTCAGCGTAGAAATAGGTGCCACAGACAGAAGAATAAAAGCCTCCCCCCACATTCCACCACCCCATCGCATCACATCGCACCCCCTAGCAACAGCGAGCACGTCAGCGATTGAGAACTGCTGCCCCCCCCGCCTTCATTCCCTTCGTGATTCTCGGCTATTCGCGGTGGACTCTGTCCGTCTTAATATACAGCTCCGTCGTGCGGCAGCCGAGAGACGGCCGCGGTCATTAGTCGTTGATGAAGCTGCCACACTACGCCGATGTTGAACGTGACAGCTCTAGCAGCCACCGCGGGAGTCTGATACTGGTAGTTCACTGGGTGTGCTCTGCTATGCAATTACAATGGGTGCAGTAGGAATGGGTTGGGGGAAGATGAGGGCATTAGTGATTAATAACACAATCTATGGGGGTAATACTACTAACATCAGGAGCTTATAAATGGATTTATAAATGGCGTATAAATGGATTATAAATGGATAATCCATTTATAAGCTCCTGCTAACATCATGACTGCTGCCATTACGACCTGCGTATAAGCGTAACTGGGGAGTACCGCGTACTGAAATAAGCGTAACATTATTTATTATTTGTCATTTTATTTTTTATTTTTTATCATCATATACATATATATATAATATATATATATATAATAATAAAAAATAAAATGACAAATAATAAATATAAATAAATAAGACAAATGTGTTGTGTATTATATCTATGGTATCACAGACAATCACAGGAGATGACATGGCGGCACATGGCGCGTGGCGCATATAACACAGCCTGTCGTTACGCTGCGCAGTATAGTACCGCTGCATCGATTCTCACTCTCATCATCGAGATGATGAACTAAAGCCTCTTCTGTGTGTGCAAAGTGCGCATGCTTGATGGAACACGCGGTTTGGTAAACAGGTAATTTAAATGGATCGAGTTCACGTCGGTTGGCTAATTAGCCTTGATTATCTAGAGCCGCGGAAACTGCGATGAACTTTTATTATTTCTAGTTGCTAGCCAGAGGTAGCGCGCGCCCCGTGCAGCAGCTGCTGCTGCTGCTGTTGTTGTTGTTGTTGTTGTTGTTGTTGTTGTTGTTGTTGTTGCTACAACTACTACTGCTACCGCCGCTTGTGGTGGTGCTGCTGCTGCTGCTGCTGCCGTTGCTGGTGGTGGTGCTGCTGCTGCTGCTGCTGCTGTTGTTGCTACTGCTGCTGCTGATCTGCTACTGCTGCTCTGCTACTGCTGCTGTTGTTGTTCTTGCTGCTACTGCTGCTGCCGTTGCTGCTTTGCTACTACTACTGCTGCTGCTGCTGCTGTGCCGGAATACATCAACACGGCTAGCGAGTTTAATTGCCAGTAATTTCCTTAATGACCGGCTGTACTTAGTGTCGTTTTCAGTTAATCACCGGCATTATTTATCAACCTATTAGCAAGGTTCACCGGACAGCGCAAGCAACATCAGTGACAATCCTTAACGGAATATCGTCTCCCCACGCGCTCTCATCTTTCTCTCGCTCTCTCGTCTCTCTCTTGTCCTCTCTCTCTCTCTCTCTCTTCTCTCTCTCTCTCTTCTCTTCTCTCTCTCTCTTCTCCTTTCTTCTTTCTCTCTCTCTCTCTCTCTGCTTCTCTCTCTCTCTTCTCTCTCTCGTCTGTCTCCTCTTCTGCTCTGATCTTCTCTCTCTTCCTCTTGTCTCTGCTCTCTGTCCTCTCTCTGGCTCTCTCTCTCTGTCCTCTCTCTGTCTCTCTCTCTTACTCTCTCTCTTCTCTCTCTGCTCTGTCTCCCTGCTGTCTCTCTCTGTCTCTCTCTCTCCTCTCTCTCTCTCTCCTCTCTCCTCTCTCTTCTCCTCTCTTCTAGTTCGATCTCTCGCGCGCGCTTTCTCTCTCTCTCGGGCGTCCCGCCTACCTTCGCTGCTTCCTCTTTCTTTCTCCGCCTTTCCTTTGCCCCTCCCACCTTCCATTACACACCCCTCCTCTTTTACTCTCTGGCTTTCTTGCACCCCACCCTCCTTCCCTTCCTACATCCTCTTATCGCTCTCTTGTTTTCTCTCCCCCTCCATCTTGTTTTCTCTCTCTCTCTCTTTCTCTCTCTCTCTCTCTCTCTCTTCTCCACCTCGTCTTCGGTTTCTCTCTCTCTCTCTCTCTCTCTCTCTCTCTCTTCCTCTCCCACCTCCTTTCCACTCAATCTTTCTGCTCCCCACTTCTTTCCTCACTCCGCCCCCCCCCTCCATCCAATCTACACCTGCATCCACCTAACTCATTTCTCCCCCTCTCTCCCTATTCAATAAGTCGTCCTTCCTTAATCCCATCTCTCCAATAAAAAACGCATGTGGATAAAGTAGCAATAAAACAATAAGGCGTGTGTCACACATATATAGAACGCATGCATTTATTATAGTTTCCGACGTGGCGCGTACAGCATGCGCTCTGACTCGCTCGCAGCGGTGACGAGCGGGCTAACCCCCCGAAACTTGCCATGGTGAGGCTGGTACACACACGCACGCATCGCAGCGCACGGCACACACGACACACCACAGTCACACGCGTAGCGTGTCCAAGTGAGCACACACAACACATACACCACGTGATGGGCCACCCTACGCGTGGCATGTTGCTGCGACGGCACACACACACACACACCACGCTACGCAGCTGCCACGCCACAGTCCGCACACAGCGACACACTTGTTGTTTCTTACATAAGCGTTGTTCTTACATGGCCGTTGTTCTTACATTGCCGTTGTTCTTACAGTCGCACGCGTGCCGACGTTCTGATATTATCGACGCGCGTGCGTATATTTATGAGTGTGCGTGCGTACGTGCGTACATGCATGTGCGTGCGTGCGTGCAGGTTGGTACGTACGTGCGTGCGTGCGTGCGTGCGTGCAGGTTGGTGCGTACGTGCGCGCGGGCAGTGCTTAAACACCACGGGCGCTACACACAGGCACTTGAAGCGTTTCATCTGTAAACACACACCGCCGCCATTGCTGCAGCGCTCACTGACACATAAATATATATATACATAAATACATATAACATAACACATAATACATAATATACATAATATAACATACACAATACACATAATATACATAATATATATACATAAATATATATACATAAATTTATATACATAAATATATATTTATGTGTCAGTGAGCGCAGCAGCAATGGCGGCGGCGTGTGTTTACAGATGCAAACCTTCAGTGCCTGGTGGCGGTATACAACGCTTCAAGTGCATGCGTAAATATTGAATCGCTTTTGATAGTTTTTTTTTGTTTGTTTAATTCTATTACTGCAATTAGTTTTATTATTACAACCACAGATTTAATATAAACGTGATATCGACTGACTGGATGGACATGGGCGCCACCTACCCACCGAGCTGAAACGGCGAGACTTCCGATCTTGGCATTTCCTCAATAAATCACGATAGTAATAATAATAATGATGATGATATTAATAATAATAATAAAGCAATAATAACGCGTAATAAATGTGTAGGCTCATTGAACATGACCAACCGGGCAATCACGTACGCACATATCGTACACATCTACGTACAGTAGTGCGTTCTGCCACGCTCACAAGCACCTACACACGCGCGCGGCTGCCGCACACACACACACAACACACACACACACACACACACACACACACACACACACACACACACACACACACACACACACACACACATACACATCACACAACGCGAGCGCACGGCGACACACATGCGCGCGGGACGTACAGCAGCGCTGCCAGCCGCAGACACAAACGTTTTCCGTGCTCTCCATGTGCCTTCGAGCAAATCATCCGACTTTGCTGCGTGGCTCGCTCATGGCGTGAAAAGGGCGTCTAATTCAGCGACAGAATAATATCCGCGGGAAGGAAGCTAAACTAACCGGAGTTAGGTCGAACTATATCCCCTCCTCCACACCCCCCGTCTCCCCTCCTCCACATCTCCCCCAGCTTCCTCCACCCCAGCTTCCTCCACACTCCCCCAGCCTCTTGCACCTTCCCCCAGCCTCCTCCACCCTCCCCCAGCCTCCTTCACCTTCCCCATCCTCCTCCACTCCCCAGCCTCCTTCACTTCCACCATCCTCCTCCCCTCCCCCAGCCTCCTTCACCTTCCACCATCCTCCTCCACCCTCCCCCAGCCTCCTTCACCTTCCACCATCCTCCTCCACCCTCCCCCAGCCTCCTTCACCTTCCCCCAGCCTCCTCCACATCCCCCAGCCTCCTTCACCTTCCACCATTCTCCTCACCCTTCCCCCAGCCTCATTCACCTTCCCCGATCCTCCTCACCCTCCCCCAGCCTCCTTCACTTCCCCGATCCTCCTCACGAGCCTCCCGAGGCCTACTCCCCTCCCCACATCATTCCACGCTCCCCCAGCATCATCCACCTCCTCCACCCTCCCCCCCCAGCCTCCTTCACCTTCACCATCATCCTCACCCTCCCAGCCTCCTTCACCTTCCCCGATCCTCCTCCACCCTCCCCAGCCTCATTCACCTCCCCCAGCCTCCTTCACTCTCCCCCGCAGCTCGCACAAGCAACGATGCGTAGTCGCGGGTGGCACGCATGCGGAAGTTCCTTCTTATACTGACCATCTAATGTCGATCACAACGTGCGACAGGTTTTTTTTACCGCAATTACTTCGCGGTTAGTTTTTTTTCAAAATTAGCGACAGAAGAAAACTCGACAGGCGGCTGGTAGGAATTGCTAAATGCGTCAGAAAAACGCGCACGCATGCACGTACGAACGCACGGACGCACGTAAACACAAACGAACGCAGGCAGGCACGCAAGCATGCCAAGCACTAGCTCCAAGAAACGGTATTGCTAGGGTTAGAATACCCTATTGGTGTATTGACGTCAGTCACACAGCCTGGTCGGGTTACCATCCGGCGTGTCATGAAACACACATTTTGGTTATTATTAATTATTACAATTATCTTGCGGTGATAAACAAGATATAAATTTTTAGGGGGAAAAACTTGTTTTAAAAAACGTATCAAGAGAGGTTTTCGCAAAATCTCGCGACGGACTCACATTCGCACCATATTTTACGGACCACTCATCATTAAAGATGGCAGCCTTCAGTGATCTAAACATTTTGCACATGGAAAATGTATCAACGAAGGAGAAATTACTAATGGCAATTAAACGTAATTTTTTAGGATATATAGTGGAATGCTACGAAGTATGGTGCAAATCCACCTTAGCCACCTTAGGATGTTAGGTATCACGAAGTGATGCACAGACAAGGAATGATGTAAAAACCCTAACCCTAACCCTAACCGGCCCTAACCCTAACCGGCCCTAACCCTAAACAGGCTGCGACTAGGGACAGCGCGTCTCCCATGGTACCGAATTCTCTCCTAGAGGGCCTATTATTATTATTTTTAATTAGGGATACGGTTAGGGTTAGGATTAGGGTTAGGGTTAGGATTTGGGTTAGGTTTAGGGTTAGGGTTAGTTAGGCTCATAGGGTCTATGTCCCCAGGTACTGCCGGAACGTACCCTGGTACGGTCCGGTATACCGGAACGTATCCCTGGTCACTATTGATATGGTTAGGGTTAGGATTAGGGTTTAGGTCGTTAGGATTAGGGTTAGGGTTAGGGTTCGGGTTCGGGTTAGGGAGTAGGCGTAGGCGACTCCCTAGACTCGTTAGTGGAGTAGGCGAGGTACGGTCCGGCATATTAGATAGTACCAGGGTACGTTTCGGTATACCGGACCGTACCCAGGGTACGTTCCGGCAGTACCCCGGGGGACATAGACCCTCTCAGCGTTAGTTAGGGTTAACTGATTTTATTAATTGTTAATTAATAATGCGCCATCTAGCGGATCACTATCTCTCCCCTGAAACCTACTATTTCGGACTTGGGAGACGCGCTGTCCCTAGTGGCATCCACCCTATCACACTTTGTGACACTTAAGGTTATACTTTATGACTTAGGGTTAGGGTTTTTGCATCATTCCTTGATATACGGAAAGTTTTTGCATCAGTTGATGTAGCTCTAGAACTATACTATAGCCCTCCGCTCCGCCGCAAGGCTATAGAACATACTAATTTCTATGGCAATTTCCAGGTAGTAAGCAAAGACAACTTTTTGCGCTTAATAACTTCTTCGGTACGCCAAATAAAGCACATTCTCTGTCGCACAAATGTCTTAAGTTACTGCAAACACTAAAATTAAACTGCAAACTAACGGTTAAATGTTGTACTTGCTATATTACTCGTCGACGAAGATTATTTACCAACTTGTCACAGCCATTTTTCGTTGCACGGCACTAGCACGATATATTTCCAAGTGGAGGGGTGGGGAGGTTGCACGCGGTTGCAAACCTCGCTAGCGCTGCGCAACGAAAAATGGCGGATAAATCTGCATGCAACCTGCCCACCCCTCCACTTATGAAATACATTGTGCCCACTCACTAGCCCCGGAACCGCGCTAGCGCCGCGCAACGAAAAATGGCGGTGACAAGTTGGTAAATAATCTTCGTCGACGAGTAATATAGCAAGTACAACATTTAACCGTTAGTTTGCAGTTTAATTTTAGTGATTGCAGTAACTTAAGACATTTGTGCGACAGAGAATGTGCTTTATTTGGCGTACCGAAGAAGCTATTGAGCGCAAAAAGTTGTCTTTGCTTACTACCTGGAAATTGCCATAGTATGTTCTATAGCCCTGTGGCGGAGCGGAGGTCTATAGTTCTAGAGCTACAGTTGATGATACACAGAAATCTGTGCATCACTTTGTGATACAGTTCTAAGCCTAAGGTGCCTAAAGCGGATTTGCGCCCGAAATATATTATATCCTAAGACACCCATGTTGTACCATGGTGCTTTTACGTTGTAACAACCAACGTGCAGTGGCAAAAACAGCGAACTGCGCAAAATAGTGGATGACAATATTTTAATGGTTCCTTTGACTCCCTCTCCACACCCTACGCTCCCCCACCTCTTAGCTCTGCAATCTTTGTTTTGGGCGCCATGCAAAAAGGCGACATTTTTGTTCGTTGTTCTCTGCTCCCAAGTGGCAAGATATGTAACTGTTCAGTGGCGGATCCAGGATTGCAAGGATGGGGGTGAAAAACAGGCGGGGGGTATGGGGTCCTCCCCCAGAAAATGTTGAAAATGTAGATCGCAGGAGATGGTATTTGAGGCACTTTTGAGTACATGTACAGCCTTCATTCGGACTACAACAATTTTCTTTTTGGTAGAATAATTCTTGCGCTTGCAGCGGGGCATTGATTGCTGTAGGGGGGGGGGAGATGACCACCGCTAGGATGAAGGCGACAGCAAAACTCTTTCTTGGAATTGTGAAAAAAGCAGACTGCATTTCCGTCAAATTATTCTTCAGAGACGAAATGGCATCAAGAGCTGTTATCAGATCCAGTTCCTTTGACTGCAAGTAGTTGCTTACAATTTTACACCTGCTTAGGATTGGACGCAGCGCTTCCATGTTGAGGACGAAGTGAAACGTTGACAGATTTTTCAACAGCCCTTGTGCATCTGCTACTACCTTAGGACGGTTAGCTTTCCTGGCTATTTCCTCTAGGGCCTCAAGGATCGCCTTCAGATTGGCAGAAATCGAATCAACCGCTTCAGCGCGACATGTCCATCTTGTTTCTGACAAGCTTTTTAGGGCCTTGATTCGCTGATCTGGCATCAGCCTTTTCATGATGGATTCCAGAATGGAATGGCGATGAGGGCTTGACTCAATAACGGTGTAGACATTTTGTACGGTCCCAAACAAGTTGCATGTACTATTTATCTCAGCCATGGCATCTGCTATAACAAGATTTAGGCTATATAATACACGCACGTGCAAGACTTACGTTGCATGCTACTGCGTACTGTCTCCTCTATCTCGTGCACTGTACTGTTGCCTAATACCACATATAATACATTTCGTTAAATGTTTTATGACCGCGCACGTTTGTATGTGGCCATAGTAGCACGTCAGATAAACTACAGGAATATATAGGCTAATTCCGCAGACTTTACCGTTTCATATCCAGGCTGCGTTCTGTGCCGTAAATAAAAATAACGCTTCCAAACCATGGGGGTAGGGGTCAGTCGTGTGTACTGTTGACCTGTCAACCAACCTCCTTCCCATTTTTGTCTTCATTTAAAAAAAAAATTCTTTTGGATCAACAGGGCCCCATTTGGCCCCCCTTAACTATGCCACTGGCATATAGCACTACCGGCAAATAGATATCTGACCCCTGGGGTGTTAGGTACCAGATCGAAAAACCCCCACAAATTTCGGCAGTTGCACTGCAACAACAACGCATTTAAATTTTCTTTTTCCCGATGGAGTGGTAATCCTACTGGGGATGGGGTTACTCATGTTGTGTTACATTATTATATCTAATGTGTTGATTGCTGTAGCCTCCAGCACTAGCATTTAGATTTAACTTACTTCAATTTACTTTTGAGACTCGGATTGTTTCATGAGTATTGCACAGTGCATTGTGTCCAACCCAGGTTCATCGTACCTAATTATGCAGTGATTATCAATGCCACTTTATGAGACTATTTATCGTGTTGTTGTTGTTTGTTTTCAGTTGGTTATGAAGTTGTTGCGATTAACAATTACGTAGAGAACGTGTTGGTCAAAGATGATAAAGGCAAGAGCAAGAAAGAACCATCAAAGGTATCCTCATGAAACTAAATTTAACCTAACTACCTAACCTACCTAAATTTATGCCAGTATCAGCTTGGTTGCTATTATTACATATGTTTGCAAACACTTGGTAATTTTTTTCCGAAAACCAATGACGGCCAGTACAATGCTGACATTATAGATATAGAAATAAAAACCAAAGACTATAACAGACTAATGCAATAAGATACTGTTCTGTATTATAATGCATGTTATTATATTTATTTCTTAAAGGTTAATAGACAAGCAATTAGGTATTAATGTTCACATCACCTAGTCTGAAGGCATCTGTTGGTAGCACGTGAAGGTTAATCAGGGAGTCCTGTATGACAAACCACGTGAATACAGGTCTAGCATTGTTTTTAAGGTTGTAGAAATACCAGCTCCGGTGAAAGTTCATTTGACTGAAAGAGATATAGGAGATCTCAAGGTATATATATATATGTATATTACACATATAGGTGCAGGCTCTAGGTGCTAAGATGTTAAAACAATAACAAGTATTGACCATATCCTTTAAACTTCGTCTGTGGTCACAATTTCTATGCGGAATCGATGTAATGAGTGCCTACGCAGTTGACAGGTTGGCGTGATTACGGATACAGTTTTGTATAGTTGTTGTAAACACAGTGAACATTGCACAGATGTTTGTTCTTCCCACCTACCAGATGTGCTAATTAGAATCTGTTTTTTTTGCACCAGGTGAAGGGAGCATCACTGAAGCAACTTTCCCGATTTACAACAGTTCTATCTGATCCAGGGCAGTGGCGAAGAATGGTGATCAATTTACTATACCATTGATTATTCCCCGCATTTCATGTTCACCGTTTATTTGTAACAGTCATTGCTTTATGATGTATATGTTACGTGTTATGAATCGTGATAATGAGCATGTAAGGTTGTATTTGTTGATTTATTTAATCAGGTAGATCTGTTGCTTACATTTTACAGCAGGAAGATGATATTCAAGCCTATGACTTACTGGCTGTTCAACCAACAACAGAAAAACTATTTCACGTATGTACACGGTAACTGTAGCCAGTTTCAACAAGCAATTGTTTCTCCGGCGTAAATCAAAGTTTAAGCTGAGAATAGGGCAAGCAATTCAGTAAGGTAATAATTTTGCAATATAGGCAGCGATTGGCCAAATGTATGTGGCCATTTTTAACTACTTGGGACTAACCTGTCGACGCATGATGTTTCAGATGGCCTGCACTGCCATTGAGATTGATATCATCACATTTAACATTGGAGACAAATTAACTTACTACCTAAAACCCGCACCTGTCAGTAAGGTATGTTTGACGATAGATTACAAAATACGAGCAATATTTTCTCGCAGTTATAATAGGTCATGATAAGATCATTTATAGGTATAATGTGATTTTCAAGATATTGAGCTACAGTTTTAAGCACCTTACTATTACAAAAGCCCAGTGCTTCACTTATAAGAAATGCAGGCTCAGGTAAATTTTGAAGGTGTATTATATAGGTTGGTCATTAAATAGTTTAACGTAGCAGCGTGTAATCTTGCCGCATACATCAGCAGGTGTGTTGTTTCAGGCTATAGAGAGAGGAGTTCATTTTGAGATTGTATATTCCGAAGGATTCCATTCTTCCAGCAGAAGAACCTTCATAGCCAATGCACTGAGAATCATGCATGTCACACATGGCAAGGTATGTGACGGGTAGAACCTAACAACTGCATGATGAGCTGTGTATGGTTAGAAGGGTACAATTGACCAGAGATATGATATTAATGTGGTTTTATGCTTCAACTTACTTTGGCTTAATATTTATGTTAAATGCGAAGTAAGTGATATCTTTATCCCTGGCAGTTTTCAGGCTTTGTTTTTTATAAATGTATTGAACCCCCATACTAATGCTATTCTGCCTGGACAGGCTTTCACACATGAGGTCCAAGAATGCCCACGTAAATATGTGCGTGCATTCATTCGGTAAAGAGAATGGAAGTAGTAGATGTGATGTTACAACGTTGTGCAACAAGTAAAATATATTCTTTCATCACAGAATGTAATCATCAGCAGTGGTGCGAGGGAAGCCATGGACGTGAGAGGACCCTACGACGTTGCAAACCTGTATCCTTTCAGAGTACAGAAAACGTGTCATTGAATTCAAGATATAGATAGATAGATAAATAGATTAGATATTAGATTTTTACTAGATCATCAGATATTTTATATAGAAAAGTGTTCTATATTAATTCAGCAAAAGCTGTATGCGACGAGATAGGTTATTTCCTATATATCTGTAATAGAGGTTTGCTGATTGGTCTGCAAGAGCCCCAGAGCAAAGATGCGATTTCAACCAACAGCCGGGCATGTGTGCTTCACGCAAGTAAGTATGTGTACAGTGTGAGCCATCTTTTTACCGCAGAGCAAAAAATATATCTCATGTATCAGCCTGTATCATCTTGAGCTATATTTTCTTCTCAAATAATCGGTATGAATAGAATTTTATTGACGCAAAGTCGAATTTAAGCTTTTTAGGATTTACAAACCAATTCACAGTCTAAATTTGCACATATAAAAACGTCTTCACTGACAAAAGTGACTCCTGGCCCATTAATAATGAAATATACTTAATCACTTCCACATAAAAAAAATGAGCACCTGTTGCTTTTACATAGAATACACTGAAGTTCACTGCGTTACGTCGATTGCTCACAATCGTTTTGCCGACAGATACACGGCATTCCGTCAAGTCTGTGATCAGTGTACGGAGTTCGAGCGAGCTGAAAGCGGAGGACCAGTGGACGGTGGAAGCCTGTAGAAAGGAAGCTTCGGAGGAGAGCGGCGACGATAGCAGCGAGAGCGCCGCAGAAGAAGCCGATAGTAGCTTTGACGCAGCGCGGCCAGAGTCGAAGCGAAGGCGCATGGACGGTGTTTGAGTGCTTCCCGTTGTTGTTTCTTTTGTGACGCGATCTCAATCATGCACGAGGACAAACGTGGTAGCAGATTGTTTTTACTGCCTGTTGCCCGTACTGTTTTCATTGAGCTGGATAGAGTCAAGAGCTAATAATAGCTCAAGAGATAGAGTCAAGAGCTAATAATAGCTCAAGAGATAGAGTGAAGAGCAAATAGATTGTTTTTACTGATTGCTTTCACTGCCCGTTGCACGTACTGTTTTCATTGAGCCGGATAGAGTCAACAGCTAATAAGGTATTAGCTCTTGATAGAGTGCTGCTAGGGTGAGGCTTACAATACTGTGAATACTGAAAATGATTGTTATTAACACATTCTAGCATGTTCCATTCAATCTAATCATTTTCAGTATTCACAGTATTGTAAGCCTTACCTTAGCAGCACTCTATCAAGAGCTAATACCTTATTAGCTGTTGACTCTATCAGGCTCAATAAAAACAGTACGTGCAACAGGCAGTAAAAGCAATCAGTAAAAACAATCTGTTGGCTCTTCACTCTATCTCATGTTGGAAGAAACTACAATTGATCAGGAAGATTGCACAAGCATGTTCATAATGCAGTATAAATTTAGTGTCCATGGAATCTTGTTTATTTACATAACTCTCATTAAAAAAATATATTAAAATACAAGAACATTCTTCACAGTTATATTTTCTGTGCTGTGATTCTGTCGACGCTATGATTAAATGCTTAACATTTATCATGTTTCTAACAGAATTCATAGTAAAAATATTTTAACATCTGCATACATTTTTAAATCATTAAATGATGCCTATAAAGACAAGCAGCAGATGTTTCTAGAGCTACCTAGTTGTAAGAACTGACCTTTTAAGTACACTGTAAGCAAATTTTATAATAAACTACAGATTAAAATAAAGGCTTAACAATTTCAGGCTTGCAGCTATCAGCACATACCCAACACTCGAAATATAACTACATAAAATAAAACTTATGGTTGATCTATTTTTGCCAACATATTTACAGAATGAAAACATATCTTCACAAGTATGATGTAATATTTGTAAGTTTATGTACAAGCGATTATTGTACATAAACTAAATTTAAAACTATGTTAAAAAATTATTATTTAACTTCATGATAAAATAAATGACAAATTGTGCACACAAAGACATCTGTCAAGATCCACCTAATTTGGTTTCTATTGGCAATGCCAGTTTTTGCTGCAATTTTCATTTTATACTTCATAGATTATAAAAGCTGTTCAATATATATGCACGTTTCTTAGTATACTCCCCAGATTGTTAGCTGTACAACATATATTTACATGAGGATCGTATTATGTAATAAATTTCCTAAATAATAAAAGGCCATCACAGCTGTGAGATAAATTTTTACATAATTCATGGATTATATATGGTGAGAATAGGACGAAGTAAAAGTGCATAAATTTTAGTAATTATAAATGCTTATCGTGATGACGCCAAGCTTGTATAGTCACTCCAGAGTAAGTATATAGATAGCATATGCCAGCGACTTCAGGCAGTTATTAGACTATCTTCCGATCCTACGCGTGAGCTGTACGCAGGCAAATGTTCATCATCGTCATCACGGATGTCAACGGATACTTCTATTTGATGTTCAGTTACACTACAATAAAGGACAAACGAACACATTAGTATTTTGTCTTTTTAATATTTAACTTTGGCATTGACGTTTTTTTGTTTTTACGTTGACCAACTTATATATGAACAGATTATATATATATCGAGTGTGTGATAGAGAGAGAGAGAGAGAGAGAGAGAGAGAGAGAGAGAGAGAGAGAGAGAGAGAGAGAGAGAGAGAGAAGAGAAGAGAGAGAGAGAGAGAGAGAGAGAAGAGAGAGAGAGAGAGAGAGAGAGAGAGAGAGAGAGAGAGAGAGAGAGAGAGAGAGAGAGAGAGAGAGAGAGAGAATGAGAGAGAGAAAGATAGATAATCTCTTCAGGAAGCAAAAAGTCAATGCAGAAAAATGAAATGTCGTCAATTATTCTCTAAGAACACACCTTTGAACAGTTGCATTATCCACATCACTGCTGAGGCTAGTACTTGGAATTGCCAAGGATCCAACGTCACGCGGTCCTTGCACTACGTTATCATAAAGTGCACTGTACAGCGGGGGAGCACCAGTGTTGTGTGTAGAGAGCACCTCTTCATAGGACGGAAGAACAAACAGTTTGCCTGCAAAAAAATGCCACAAAGGTAAGAGTGAATTAATATCAAGAACTAAGAAATCTCCCAATGCCTATAACTATAGGGGCCTATATGCTTATAATGTTCAAAGACCAATTTAATGTGTTCAAGAGCTCAAAATTACAGACTACTCTGTTCTACTAGTTCTTTATATATTGAATAATCATTTGTGTAAAGGTTTTAGACATCCTGCTGACACTTACGCTGAAATGGGTCATTCTCAGCACACAGGACATGATTCAATAATCTGAGTGCATCATACGCAAATGCAACATAATCTCTCTCTCTCTCTCNTCACTGCGGATTAGATACCCAATAATGTAACCCAAACCCAGGAGCCTGGGTTTGGGTTACATTATTGTATCTAACTGCGGATGTGTGATACAACTTTACATTGGCCGAGATTTGTGAGTATATACTTACACCACAGCTCATAATAGTATGTGCAACACCTCCCGTTCCCACAGCAGTGACCTTTATGACAGTAGACGTCACCTTCACACATGTCATCAGCCTAGATATCCAAGTAAATATAAATGTCAGTGCACTGCTTTGCAGCACAGCAATGTACACTATACGTGAGCTGCATCGAAGGTTGTAATTACAACAACGAGATATAATCTATTACTACTTGGTCTACTACTACTACTAGGCTGCCAATGTTCACTCGATCTGGTTTTGTATTTACATCGTTCCGCTTAGCTCTAGTACTATACTACTATAGCCCGCGNCTCTCTCTCTCTCTCTCTCTCTCTCTCTCTCTCTCTCTCCCTAACATATACACAAATATTCTTAAAACTATATGTTGGATTTTAGATAGGGATATTTTATTAAGAATCCATACTGATATACTGACCATTGGGCGCAGGAACAGCGCAACCAGTGGCATCCCTGAAAACGTGCTGCTGCTGCGCGTGCTCTAGCTCCCTCCTCCTCGCTGCCTGCCTTTTCTGGTAGCAGCAGCAACCACTCACCATCGCAATGAATAGCCATAACACCCAGAACCCTGTACATCATCAGCAGATCATCAATGAAGCTGTGTCGATCCCACCACATAGCACTATAGCAGATTACATAATTGATAAAAACGTATATATAGATAATGTGAAGCGATTGAGATTTATGTGATAGAATATGTCGAGGCCTTGATCGAGACGAGGCAGGATAAATTCTACAGCACACGTACGTACGATATACACGGTTGCGTACGTG